AATAGAACCTGAACTTTATTAATAATACTAGGCAATGCCTCTAACCAGTCCTCTTTGGTTTCATATTTGCAGGATGGCTCTAAGTCTGATCCATACTCCTTGGAAGCAAGTTCCTGATCAAAGTCTGATGCCTTCTCCATAGTCTGGATGCAAAAGTCATCCTTAATAGCTTGGATATCTACAGTCGTAGCTATTTTAAGACCTGGGATATCTCCTTTTAACAAGTGTTTAATGTGCTCCTTTTCCTTATATGTATCCTCCTTTGTGTGTGCTGTAGGTGGCTGATCATGAAACACTTCGTCAGTATCTGTATCCTCTAAAACATATAGGTCAATTTCAGTTCCCTTTGTTGGAATTTCAGATCCCTGCCCTTTGTTCCCTTGTGTAATAGATAGATTTTTATTCTGTGTTTGCTTAGGAATCCATTTAGGTCCTGAAGTATCTGGGACCTTAAGAACATTCCCAACCCCCAAGTCAGTTAAGGCTCTACCATGCTTGTCACCTGTATGATCAACATTAAGCCCCCTCCTTCTTAGGACATTTCCTCTCCTCATGACCTAAGTGCAAGCATGACATACAATAGAAGGGCCTATTCTCACAGATAATATTGTGTAAAGCCAGTGTCTCCCGTCTGTATCCAAATCTTATTTGGCATAGGCTTTGTCAAGTCTAATTCAACACACACTCTAGCTAAAGAGGGTCTGGCTAGAGTGGTGGTAGCTATATCCAGCTTTAATGGCTTTCCTATTAATCCAACAATAAGAAACATAGCCCTTTTATCTTGTAAATGAATAGGCAGTCCTTCAAGGATTAACCAAACTGGAACCACAGGAGATTCCACATTTGGTTTGAAATCCGGGTACCATTTGGTAACCCTCATTAAATTGCCAAAGATGTCCCATCTTTGACGATTCCAGCATCTTATGAAGTCTTCCTCCAAATCAAACCGGATTAAAGTATGCTTAGATTCCAATAGTGACAAATGAACTTTTCCTTTGAAGCCAATAATATCAAAATATCGACGAATGGTAGCCATGGGTGGACGTCCCTTGAAGAAGTATCCAATTAAGGATCGCTTGTGCTTATCTGCCAAACCTCTATGTCTTCCTTCGAAAAACTTGCTGCTGGCAATCCATTATATTTCGTCTGAAAAGAGGAAGTAAGGGTTGCATCAGCCTTATCCAGTAGAACAGAAACAAAAGAGCGCTTATTTGTCCATGCATTCCCCAGTGGCTGAGGGACCGCCGGCGGTGGCGGCTCAGCAGAAGGCGTGCTCATAACCCTTGTTCAGCGAAGTGCTTAGTCAATTAATACTGATAAACTTTAAACAACCCTAAGTTTAGAATGATAATGTTAGGGAGATCGGGGGTTGGTTAACTAACTCTATCGTGAAATTGTGTGATGTGGTTGTCACTCCAAATTCCTCATCACCCCATCTATTTGTACTAGCATTATCCTGTTATATTATGAATTTATGATGTGTTATGCATCGAATTTGGCTATTTCTCCTTAATAGCAAGGATAACTTGCTTGATTAAAATATGTTTCACACTGACTTGGTGATAATGTTATGTTGGTAGTGCCTATTTAGCGATCAAGTTTTTTTTGCTTATGAAATTATCCCTTATTTACGATCTTAAAAAATAACATTATTTATGATAATGTTATGTTGGTCCGCGAGGAAATGTGATTAACGTTCCAACCGGCCTATAAGACTTATCATATCTAGTGTTGTTCATATTGTGAAATACCTTTTGATTACATTAAAATATATCTAGTTTTATATTTAGAAACTATTTGATTGTCATGCAAGGCTTAGGATATTTCAAAAATCTTATTATCATATTATTCTTTTTAGAATAATAAATTTAATACAGAAAAAGATGTATGTTACCATTTTAATATTCATTTAAAACATAAAAATACGATGAAGTACTTATTTATTAGTTAAAATAATAATATTTGTCATAAATTATAATTAGTGATCAAGTAAAATTGTATTTAGTATGCATCATATTTTACAAATTCATTTAAAATTTTCATAACTCTCAATATTAATGAATCATGTATTAATTATTTATTTATTTCAATTTAAGAATTCTACGTGGGTGTAAAATACTACGTAGTATTCTATTTGAAATTCAACAATACTATCTTTATATATATATATATATATATATATATATATATATATATATATATATATATATATATATATATATATATATATATATATATATATATATATATATATATATAGGGAGCGGTTCTGGTAAGAACGGACTCCCAGGAGAGAAATGAGAATGAATTTGAACCGTTGGATTGAATTATGTGGAACTGTATTGTGCATTTGGTGAAAGTGAAACATGCATTAGATGATATTGAAATGTGCAGAATAAAAATTTAAACTCACGTGTGCATTAGGTGAAACTGAAATGTGTAGAATAAAATGTACAAAAATAACATCATATCGTACATTTTAATCTTCACATTTCAGTTTCACCTAGTGCACATTTTAATTTCACATAATGCACAATTCAGCTTCACATAATGTCACTGTATCGTCGTACCCTTTGTGTTGCATATTTTAATTTCACTTGATGCACATTACAGTTACATCTAATGCACATTGAATTTCACATAAAGCAAATCTAACGGTTCAGATTTGTTCTCATTTCTCTCCTAAGATCATGTTATATATATATATATATATATATATATATATATATATATATATATAGAGAGAGAGAGAGAGAGAGAGAGAGAGAGAGAAGATTAGGTGAAAAACGCTCCTTAAAATGAGAAGTGAGAAGTAATCTCAGCCCTTAGATTTGCATATGATTTTACAACGCAGTAAACTTATAGACTAAATATATGAACTTATAACCAATAAATCATAACTTATAAAGCTCTCCATAATAATTACGAAAATGCCACCACGTCAATTTTTTTTCCAGGTTTCCGTAATTATTTTTTTGCGGTGGCATTTTCGTAATTATTTTCGAGGGGTCTATAAGTTATGATTTATTGGTTAAAAGTTCCTATATTTAGTCTATAAGTTTAACTTCACAGTTCTCAGCCTAAGAGCACTTCTCACCTGATCCGCTCCCAGTGTGTGTATGAGAGGAACACTGATTTAGGAACCTAGTTTTGAGTTATTAATGCAGGTGTAGAAGAATTTTCCGCACAAGTGAATGATGGAATAATTTTTTTGAGAAGTAAACATTTTCTCTTTTGATAACTGTTTCAGATGTTTGGCTGAATAATTCTTGAGGGTATTTTTCAAACAAACATCATCACAAACACTATAGATTGTAACTTTAAATCTCTCATGTTTAGATTTGTCATCATTCACATCACAATATAATTTAGAAGTCTTAGCCTTATGATTAATTTTTTCGAGTTTGTTAACTTCAACATTGAAATGAAAAATATCATATCTAAAATTATCAAAAGAAGACTGAGAAGAATAGTGTGTGACAGAGCTAGATGATTGATAGCTTGATGAACCTCAACATTCATTGAAATTGCTCTTTGAAACGAGAGAGGTGGATGAAATTGTGTCTGTATTGGGGGAAATTTTGAGAAGAGAAATATCATTTAATTATTTTCCGAATTCTATTTTGAAAATATTTATTTCAGTTTCTAGAGATGTGTGTAACACCGCAATTTTGCGAAGAATCTCTGGAATGTGAACATTGTCAGTGTTCCGTTTTTTAGAAACATATTGTTCTCCGCCCTTAAACACAGGCTCAGACTCATTCGCACGGGAAAAAGTTATACATAGTTATCCGACGGAGGAATTTTCCTTGTCTTATAACTAGCATTGAGTTGAGTGTAGTCAAATGAGATCTTAGCCTTAGAATCATTTTCTCTCTTTTCTTTTTTCCTCAACATCAATTTCTGATGTTGTTGCATACATAAGTTTCGTTAAACCCAAGCCCGTGTACCTAATGTCATACAATTGAGCACAATTAACTATGTTCAAGTTAATTGGGGTTTGGAAACCCAAGCCCTCTCTAGAATTGTAGAAATTGATGTCTCTTGCTGGTTAAAAACAGTTTCTTAAATGTTGGTCTGAACTCATTTTTCCTTAGCCTACCTCCATCCCGTTAATATTTATCATTTTGCCTTTTGATCTATCTCACTATGATTGTTCCACACCGAGTTTGATAATATTTGTATATTTTTTAATTATTGTTACTTAAGAACCCAAAAAACACTTAGGGGATTGGTATAGTAACGAAATAGAGTATTATTATTGTTCAAATTTTCTAAGGGTTCGTTTGTTTATCATATTTTTCCGCGTATAGGTCTCATCAATAAACTTTTTTATCAAACATAGGTAATATAATTTTTAGTTTCGTGCATTGGAATGTATAATAATCGAAATAAGTAAGGTTGAAGTTCTTTTTCTGGCTGAATTGACTGAAATTACTAGAGAAAATCATTTTAACTATTTTTTACATTATTTTTTCTTTATTTTCTTTATAAATATTACTTCTCTCTTGGCCAACTTTTCTTTTTTCGGCCGTTTGAAAAAATTTTGTCATTTCAATTGAAAATAACAAATACAGAGTATGTGGCTAAAGTTATTTCTATCTCCTCTGTACAAATTTTAAACACACATTTTTTTACTTTATTATTCCACGTGTCATTCAACTTTGACCAAGTTTTATGAGATGGATTGAGTATATTTTAAATTCAATTTTTCTATAATTCAACAAATTCAATCAATTCAACCGCTTTGGCTAAAATTTTATAAATTTGTAACAGTTTGAATTGATTACTTGGTTATGAAAGTTTTTACTTGGACTGAAATTTGGTCATTTGATCTGGTAAATGGTTGATCTATGTATTTTTTATAATTATGAAAGTTTGGTCTAATCTGTTTAAATCTAATCTGCTATAATGTGATTTATTTAAAGCTGGTGTGATATGAGATTGAAAACGATATAAGTAAAAATATCAAAAATTCTAAATTTAAATCTTCTTTCTTCAAATCCACTACATATACATTACAGACGGGCTAGTAGTATCTTCTCCCCAGCTCCACCCCTCCTCCATTATTGTTTTTTGAGTTCAGAGTCTTTACACAAACCCCCAAAGCTGGCATTTCTGTCACCTGTCTCTCTTCTCCCAGTCCCCCACCCCACCATCACTGTTCATATACGTACAACTGGATTTACATTTCTGTATATAAATGTGTATATATACATATTTAACAATGATTTGACTATTTATTGTGCATTGAAAGGGCTCTAGACGCCGGAAATGGAACTGGGTTCAGGTTCCTTTTCATCTTCTTCCGCCGGCGGCGGCGGCGATGATTCCGCCTCTGCCGACTCGTCTCTCAACATTGGCTTGAAGATTGGGCAGGAAACTTACTTCAAAGAAGTGGGTTCTGGGGCGGGAACGGGCGGTCGGGTTAAGTCAGGAAATGGGTCGTCGTCTGCGGCGGGAGGTTCGCTTCCGCCGTCATCGTCACCAGCGAAGAAAGGGAGGAGCGGAGCGGCGCAGGGCGGGCAGCCGGCGAGATGTCAGGTGGAAGGTTGCAACGTAGATCTGAGCGATGTTAAGGCTTACTACTCACGGCACAAAGTGTGCGCTATGCACTCCAAGTCTCCGACCGTCGTCGTCGCCGGAATTGAGCAGAGATTCTGTCAGCAGTGCAGCAGGTCAGTTATTATAGTTTCCCTGGTTCATCTTTTTCCGGTAATAAGATTTATCCATTCTAAAATGTTGACATTTTTAGATACTCAGAGCTTATCCGGTTCCACTGAGGCGGATTAAATCCGCCGACGGTTCAAAGGGTGAGATTTAAAGCCCGTTCAATTATGAAAAATATACCGGTATTAAATTTTTATTTTATAAATAAAATAAAGTGAAAATTATAAAGTGAAAAATTATATAAAAAATTACTCCCTATTGAAATAGGCATGTATATAGCCTATTGGGTGAGCCTGTTTTTTTTTTTTTAAATTCCAACGCTGAACTATCTAATAATAAGAAAAAGTACGGTTATACGGAGTAGTTACTTTTCCGCGTTGGCCGAAGTTACAGTAAAGTATCATTTTAACTATTTTTTCATTAATTGTTTCTTTGTTTTATTAATAAAATATATTTTAAATATGGTTTTTTCATAAATCAGCAGAATTAACCAATATAGGCACTTCAGCTAGAACTTCATAATTTTTAGCAGAATCAGCAAATTTCGGTGTTACCAAATGGGCTCATAGTAATCGAGATATTTTTATGTGATCATGTTTTTTGCCTTATTAGTATTATTATGAGTCCACTTTTTCACAAAAAAAACGTTATTTTTAATTTTACGCATCGAATTGTGTAATATTCAAAATAAATAAGATTGATATTAATTTTTCTAGCTGAATTGATCAAAATAATCTTAGATTACCCTTTTAGCTATTTTTCATACAGAATATAATATTTTTTATTTTCTATTTAAATACTACGTATATTTTAAATATAATTTTTTCATAATTCAGCATTATCAGTCAATCTAACCCTTTTAATTAAAACTTCATAAATTTCAACAAAATCACCTCTAATTTATGTGTTACTAGACAGGCACAATTTAGTTGTGGGATATTAAAAATTAATAAATTAATTGGTTGAACTCTTATATTTAATGTGGAGTGCTATAAGTGCCTGACAAATTTATTTTAAAAATAAGTTAAAAGTTGCAGAAAGTTAGTGTTGTAATGGAGGGAGTAGTTTTTGTTCTTGTTGAAGAGATTTAAACAGTTGACCATCCACATCTGTCACCTAAATATGATGCGTATTGGTGCCGCACTAAGATTTTATGTACTTATGGCGAGAACAATGACACTGAAATTGACTATATTTAAATTATGTTTTATTAACAATATTAAGAAAAAATTAAATGGAAAAATAGCTTAAATAGTTTTCTTGAGTAACTTGAGTCAATTCAGTCATCAAGGTTACTCTAACATTATTGATTTGATTACTATATAATTCAACGTGTGAATTAAAAACTATATGTTTGATAAATAGTTGACTGATGAAGCTGATAAGCTGAAAATAAGTGTTATCAAATAATATTTTATTTAACATACGGAGTATCAATTTTTATTAGGAAGTAGGTAGTACATTTTAATTTAGTCCTTGCATGATTGGTGATGGGTGTGCTATGTTTCCTCCCACAAAGTTGTCTTTTGGTCCCTTTGATCACTATCATAGGGACACTTTAATCTTGGCTATAAGGTCTGTTCTCAATTTTAATCCTCATCAATAGAGAATAATTTATGAAAATTGATTACGTGATAACAATTTATGGTTTGTTTTTCCAGGTTTCATCAACTGCCTGAATTTGATCAAGGAAAAAGGAGCTGCCGCAGGCGCCTTGCTGGCCACAATGAGCGGCGGAGGAAGCCTCCGCCCGGAACTCTCTTCTCGCCACGCTTTGGGAGCTTGTCTCCACCATTATTTGGTCAGTTTCATAGGCACTTGCCTTTTCTTTTTGGTTTTGCGCTTTCCAATTTTAGAGTCCCGCAACATTGAAATTGACTGAATCTGTTGAAACTAGTGAAGTTATGGTTGAAGTAGATGAATGAGTTGAATCCATTGAATTATGGAAAAATTATATCACCTCCGTCTCACTCGACTTTGTCAACTTAGAAAAGAAAAAATTGTGGATTGAGGTTTGTGAATAAGAAAGAGAAATCAAGAGAACCACAAATTAATTGCTTTAAAATAAAAGTGATGAGACAAACAAAGAGAGAAAATTGGCAAAGTGAAATGGGACAGAGGAAGTATATAAAATGTTTCTTATCAATAAAATAAAGAAAAAGTGATATGAAAAATAGCTAAAATTGTCATCTATCGTAACCTCTATCAATTAAGTTAGAAAAATAATTCTAACCTTGCTAATTTTAATTATTACACAATTCAACGCACGAAATCAAAGTTAAGTGTTTAGCGAAAAAGTTGGCTGATAATGCGAAAACAAGGTCACCAAATGGACTCTTGATCTGTGTTCAAGTACTTATGAACTTGGATGATTTCTTTTGTGAAAATATGATGGAAGCAAATTAGTAACCGGTTTGTTTCTTTCATTTTGCAAGGGGTTTGTTTTTTATGACCGATAGATGCACTCACTCATCTTAAGGAATTACTCCGTATCAAAGATGTTTTTACTTGGATTGAAATTTTCTGGTCTGGTTTGGTAAATGTTTGGTCTCTTTATATTTTATAACTAGTAATGTATTATTTGTGTCAAGCTGCTACAGATAACAACAGCAAAGCAAGTGGAGGTTTTCTCATGGACTTCAGTTCATACCAAAACCCCAGCGGAAGGGAGTCGTGGCCTGACCCAAGAGCCTTCGGACAAGCATGGGATGGACGAAGCACTCCCCCGGGAAGGTTTCACCAACAGGGATGGCAGCACAGCAACTCAGAAGAAGCCCAACCTGAGCTGCTTCTTCAAGGCTCGGCGTACCACGGTTCGAACAATGTTGTTCCTTCAGAAGAATGCTTTGATGGGGGGATCCCGCCCAACAATTGTGCTCTCTCTCTTCTGTCAAATCAGCCCTGGGGCTCCAGAAACCAACCGTTGGGTCTTGAGGTTAATAGTAGCAGCGGGTTCGTAGGCGCACCTGATGGGACACCCGCGGTCCATCCATCTTCCGACTTTTCGAACCCGCCATGGGGGTTCAAGGTTAGTCAAGGCTCTAGCAGCTCGAGTGAGATGCTGCCTGATCTTGGGTTAGGTAAGATCTCCCATCCTAATGCTGATGGTCACTACTCGGGTGAGATTGGGATGGCTCAGGAGAATGAAAATGCAAGAGAGTACCTGGGATTGGAGCACTCGAGGGGTTATGATTCTTCCCTTCACAACATGCACTGGAGCCTCTGACCTCTCTTTACTAAGGTTTTCTGTAGGCATCTACTTCAAGTTTTGTGGTGTAATCTATGTGCTCCTCTTGGAGATTATTAACACAAGGTGACGATGACTTGGTTAGCCCTTTTTTGTAAGCTCTTTCTTTGTAATGGGAAATTTGCTTGTGTCATAGTTCTTATCTTTCAAATAAAATGTGCAATCTATGGATAGTTTGTTCTCTTTATCCTCTGAGGCTTGTTTAGTTCCGGAATTTTGGGAGGAACAATTTTTATTTTCCAATTATATATGGATCGGAGTAGTTATTTTCCAAGTAACTTTGATCTAATACCATCATTAGTGTCCTCTCAAAGTAGGGGTGGGCACGGTCCGGTCCGGTCCAATATTTGGTCGAACCCGTACCCGTACCGTTACTATTGAAACGGTTCGGTACAGTTCGGTCTTAGACTCAAACCCGTTCGGTACGGTCCATTTTCAAACGAGACGGTACCATGCCATACCAATACCAAACAATGCAACTTTTTCCAGTTGTTTAAGAAAAAATTAAAGTTTAGCCATCCTCCAAAAATCCACACAATTTAACAATTTTCATATTTCATACTACCTTTGTTCAAATTGATTTGCAAAGTCAATCTTTTTTGGTCAAACAATTTCTTTTTATTCACTTAATTAGAATTTCACATTTTAATTATATTCTAATTTGGCCTTTCAAAAAAAACTACTCCGTACTTCGTATATTCTAATTTGGATTTTGCAACTTTAGAGAGATTTTAATGTGGTTTCTAAATATGTAAATTTATTAATTATTAAAAATTGTATTAATTATCAAGAATTTAACATTAACTTTGACAAAAAAATGTTGGCTTTGCAAATCAATTTGGGACGGATGAGGTAATTAATATATTTTAGATAAACTATAGTAGTACAAATTTAATAAACCATACTTCGGTCCGGTACCGGTTCTCATATTATGAGAACCGGTCATGGCATTGTTTGGAACCGGTTCGGTCCGGTTCGGTACAAAAAATTCTGAGATCCGTTTCAAACCCCGTTTATTGGTCCGGTACCATACCGGTCCGGTTCGGTACCATGCCGGTTCGGTATTTTTGCCCACCCCTATCTCAAAGTGTAGGTCACTAGCAGGGGTGGACTCGGGCCGGTTCGGGCCTGGGCCCGGCTGGGCCTCGGTTCATGAAAGGGGAGGCCCGGGTAAACTCCGGGTCCGGTTCGGGCCGGGCCTCAGTTCAACTTAATTTTTTTTTTTGGCTTTTCCTAATTAACCCCCAACCCTCCCCCCTCATCCCAAACCACCTCAAATGGCCCAAAATACCCAGCCCAACCAAAAACTTAAAAAAAATTAAAAAAAAAAAAAAAGAAAAAAATAAATAAATTGGCCCGGACCGGGCCCGAACCGGCCGGGCCGGTTCACCTTTTCAGGGGCCTGAGCCCGACCCGGAACCCCAGCAGGTTGGGCCTACCCGGATCGGTCCCTGGCCGGGCCGGCGGTTCGGGCCGGTTCAAACAGTGACCGGGCCGGGCCGTCCGGCCCGAGCCCACCCCTAGTCACTAGGTCATGAGTTTCTATCTCATCTTAATGTTGACATTATATTTGAACATGTGCTATACTAAATCATGAATGTTGCTATTACAAATTTAGTCAGATAATGTAATTATATGCTCTGTGTGATTTGACATCTTCATCTTTTTGCCAACCACCTAAACATATGAATACAACAACATTACCCACTGCTGCTAAAGCACCCACTTATGGTGGCGAAGTGTCAAATGTACGCAGTTTTACCTTTGTACTAATGCACAAAAGACTATTTTTGAATGATCCATGGTGGATAAGTTAAAAAGAGTAACTCCACCCTCCCTTACGAGATACTCACCCGTCTTGCTAAGATTGTCTCATCATTCCTCTTCGGTCCGTCCCACCAAATTTGTCTCATAACAAATTTGGTAAAATTTGTGTGGTTCTAAATTGCTCTTATTTTATTCTTACCTTATCAATTCAATATCAACCACATAAACTCATTTTTCTTAATTATCGTGTCATCTCCTCACGTCTCAATGTTGATGGGACAAGGGTAGTACGTGATGTTATGATACATTTCATCTGAATATTAAAACCAAATACTTAAAGACAGTTTGATAACTTTTATTTTAAGTTTATTAGCTAATATTTTTACCAAACACATGACTTTTAATTTCACGTGCTAGATTGTGTAATAATCTAAATAAATAAGATTGTAGTTAATTATTTGGCTGAATTGAGTAAAGTTTACTGTTGAAAAACATTTAACTATTTTTTCATTTAACTATTTCTTCATTTTATAAAAAATAATCATTTCATGTTTTATCAATTTCAATAAATTTAGCTTATTCAACCGATTTAATATATTACGAAACGACTCTACATTCATCAGAAACCTCACCACCAAATACCTAGTTTGTAATGGAAACTAAGTGGCAGCATCTCCATTAGAGAAATGGTGGTAGATAGGACCAAAATTGGGCTAATGTAACTAAATACTGTAAATAGGACTAGATCTTTTTTTATACTCCCTCCGTCCCAAAATGGTTGGCCAAATTTCCTTTTTTGGCCGTCCCAAAAAGGTTGGCCATTTCCATTTAAAGTAAGGAATATGTGGCTAAAGTTAATTCTCTCTCCTCTGTACAAATTTCAACCACACAATTTTTACTTTATTAATCCACGTGCAAGTCAACAAGGGAGTACATAAATAGGACTTCTATTTTCCATTAAACCATTTTTGCCCCTCCTTTCCTACCCGTTCCATCTTTTAACATTAGACACGCATGAGTCCAAATTTTAATTTTGAGTTTTAGTTCTGCAGGTAGAAATCGTCAAACCACCGATCGACCAACTCCCCAACGGCGAAAGATCAGAGAAAAAGTCGATGGTAGCAATTGAAGATTTACTCAGGGCTATATCAGCAAAGGCTAAGAAGCTCCAATAGCGATGACGACAAGGATTTTTTGTGGCGGCACAACGGCTGATCTGACCGAGAGTTCCTTTTCCTTCTCCTCCATCTTATTCTTCTCCCGGCTTGTTGCGACACTTATTAAATTAGTCTCTTCCTTGTTCCAGATTACTGTGTTGTTTCGATCCGTTTTTTTGTTTCGATCTGTTTACTACTCCGTATTACTGGATTATTTTTGTTTCCACCTGTGTTAAAGCATTTGTCCCACACCGGAAAGCTACAAAATAATTAAACACTATATAAGGCTTTGGGCTACTCCTCCTATCAGGGTTGACCTTTTAGGATGGAATCTCAGGTCTTAATATGGTATCAGAGCCAATTCCGGTTGTGATTTGACGGCTTGTTTAGCATCCATGATTAAGGGTAGCTTGTTAAGAGTTTGTTTGGCCCGATTATACACCCCGATATTGTTCAGCCCAGTTCGGGCTGAGGGGCGTGTTAAAGCATTTGTCCCACACCGGAAAGCTATAAAACAATAAAACACTATATAAGGCTTTGAGCTACTCATCCTATCAGGGTTGACCTTTTAGGATGGAACTCCGAGTCTTAAGAACCTGTTTTTTGTGTTTATGGTTTGGTGCTGTTTTGTTGACACATATGGTCATCTTTGGGTGTAGGGCCGTGTAGCACAAAAAAAAACTAAAAATTTCATTGACAATGAATGAATGAAGTGATAAATAATACGTACAGTATACATTGTGAATACTCAATAGTACTCCATATCAATATTGATAACGATATCTTTTTCTGGTGAGTTATAAAGCATAATTTTGGGTAATGACATTAAATTAAACTGTCAACTTTTAATCTTTTATTACATTATTACTTGTATATTTTATACAGTGGCACAAAAATACAATGACAAATTGTATAATGACATTGCTTTTATATATAAGAAGAAATTCATATTATTTAAACATTGTGGCATCTTTAACCCATTGATAATACCTTTAACTTTTTTAATTTTTTTTAATAATATTAGTTTTTTAAAACATTTTTTGTATTTTAATTTTTCAGTTAAATGACATTGAATTGCATTGTCAATTTCATATACAATGGTATGAGAATGTCATATGGTGGTAATAAATTTATCTTTTATAATGAAATGTGATGTAAATGTGAGATTTTTTTCAATAAAATGACAATGTTTGCATTGTAACAATGTAACTTATGTAACCAAAATTTGTGACATTTTCTTTTACATTGTTACATTCTTCCAATGTTGTGACATTTTCGTGACATTCTGACACTTCCCTATATTTTGACAATTATTACAATGCTATGACATTATTTATTTTGGCAATGATTACAATGAAAATGTTTATAATAACAATGTTTAACATCACCGCCTCTTTGAGTTAGTACAATGGCATGCACTGGGCCATCAGTGGCGGCGGCCGTGGCCGTCTTCCTTTGTCGATTCGAAACTTCACCGGAGGCCGTTGCTATGAGTGGTGAAGGTCGCCAAATATGTAGTCCATCGCTTCATTTAAAGGAATTCATGCTTCATTTGTTGTAACATTGTTCATATTGACAATGTCTGACATTGTGACATTTTTTTATAAAACAATGTCCAAGTTTTATAGAATTGATATTAATTCTTTTTAATAATGTCATTTTTATAGCGTTGCCATTGTCGGCACAGATATTGACATTGCCATTATTACAATGTCATTTTTATAACATTGATATTGTTATTATTTGACATTGAGACATATTTCCAACATTGTGACATTTTTCTTGACATTGCAATAATTTATTGTTATATTAAAACAATGTACGGAGTAATTTTTTTATAGCATTTATATTGTTTTTAACCTAAATGATTGTTTTTTATACGAGTAGCATTTTAGTGAATTAACAAGAGTGTGCTTCTCTAGGGATGAGAACAGTAATTCACTTTGGAACAGGGTGGGCTTTTATTCTTTCATTCGAACCTAAGTCGGGCAGAAGAAGATCCTCAGCCGTTTGCTTTTTCTAATTCCTGAAGCCTAGCCTCCACCTCACCCGTACGCTTTTGAGCAAAATCCCAGCCCCATTCTAGATGTATTCCCTTAGGCTTCTTATTCTAGTTGTTGACCTGTTGCGGTGGCAGCTGCAGGGGAAGATATGGCGGTGGCAGCGAAGTGCAGAGTTAGGCGGCAAATGGGCGAGGCAGCAGGGGCAAGTAAGGAGACGCCGTCTAGGTGCGGCGGCCGGAGGTGGCGATGGTGTGTTATGGCGGTGACAATAGAAGATGGAAGGTGAATATTCTGGATGGAGTTTTAATTGCTGTGAGCAGCACCGTGTGTCCGTACTCCGTAACTAAGAGA